GATCCTATTTTTTCTTCTATGAACTTTATAGTTTTTGGCTTTATATTTAGGTCTTTGATCCACTTTGAATTAGTTTTTGTGTATGGTGTGAGCCAAAGTACAATTTTAAAAAATTATTTATTTATTATGATTTAGATATAAGTTTACAGAGAAAATTAGTTTCTCATTAAACAGTTAATACTCAGATTGTTTTATGACATTGGTTGCCAACCCCACCATGTATCAACACTCTCCTTTCTCCACCCTAGGTCCCTGTTTGTATTCATCTAGTTTTCCTATCTCTTCCTGCCTTGTCTCTGCTTTTGGGCCAGCGTGCCATTAGTCTCATATACATGCTTGAACTATGAAACCTATCCCTCATGTGTGTTGTTGTTGGCCCTAAAAAACAAACAAACAAACCTATTGCTGTTGAGTCAATTCCGACTCATAGCGACCCTGTTGGACAGAGTAGAACTGCCCCATAGAGTTTCCAAGGAGTTGTTGGTGGATTTGAACTGCCGACCTTTTGGTTAGCAGCCGAGCTCTTAATCACTGTGCCACCAGGGCTCCTAATCAGTCTAATCTTTGGACTGAAGGATGAACCTCAGGAGTGACTTCAGTACTGAGTTAAAAGGTGCCCCGCCCTGGGGCCATACTCTCGGGGTTTCTCCAGTCTCTGTCAGACCAGCAAGCCTTTTTTTTTTTGTGAATTTGAATTTTGTTCTACATTTTTCTCCCACTCTGTCTGGGACCCTCTGTTGTGATCCCTGCCAGAGCAGTTGGTGGTGGTAACTGGGCACCGTCTAGTTGTTCTGGGCTCAGTCTCGCGGAGGTTGTGATAGTTGTGGTCCAAAATGCAATTTTGTTAGGAGTTACACAGCCCAGAACTATACACACTTTGAACTTTTGTGTTCACAGAAACACAAATAAACACCTACTTAGAGAAGGCTTGCTTCAGTAAACAAAATAACAAATCAGATAATGTGTCTGGGGGAAAAGACAGGAATTATTCTAGAATTTCATTTGGAGTTAATACTTTCAAACCATCTAGACAGATGAGACGTATAAGTTGTGGCTGAGAAGCCCAAGAATGTTTTTCTTTTTCAAAGGAGGAGATTGATGCTACTGAATATGGTTTTTGCTTCAAGAACTTGTTAAGGAGCCATCTCTTGCCAAGGAATTTATGGCATGGCCCTCCCTGTGCCTCCTTCCTGCTCTGACTTCCCGTGCATCTAGCTAGGAAATAGCACCCAGCTGTGTGCAAGTTAGAGTTTGGCCTAGTAGGAAACACAGCGAAGATGAGTTCAAGTCCAGGATGAGTTCAGGTCCTCAAATTCTGAGGCCATGAGAGGCGTCCTAGGGAAGTCATCTACCCTGGTTTACACTGAGGGAGCTGGAGAACCTACCCCTCTTCCCAGCCTCCCCGCCAGAAGGCGCTTCTCTCCAACACAGCAGACCAGGGTGCTTGTTGATGACCAGAGGAGCCACACCAGGAGATTCAGACTGAGGGGTCCTTACAAAGAGCCTTGAGACCTTACAGTGATAAGAGGTAGCTATGGATAAGAGGCCCAGGTCCTCCTGCAGCTCCCGGGAACACAGCCTCACTCTCCCCAGGGTCAGAACATAGCCAGGAACCCAGTATTGCAGGAAACACCCCACCTCTCTGAGTCCAGGTAAATTGTACTGACAGGTCTTAGTCCCCTTCCTTTGCCCTTGGTTATCTAGTGGGTAGAGTGACCCCTTCTTTTCTAGTACAATGACCAGCTCAGCCTTTGCCTCCACAGCATGTGGCAGCAGGAACACGGTCATCCTGCCCAGTATGATATAAAGGACAAGGCCCACCACCAGGCTTTGTGCCCTCCTGATGGCCTGGAACCACTCCCTTCCTCTTGTGTGACAGTACTGGTCCCCACAGTGAGTCAGTGTCTTAGGCTGGGTTCTCTAGAGAAGCAAAACCAGTGAAATATATATGTGCATATACACACACATACACATACATATATGTATGTATATGTATACATACACACACATATATATACATATAGACAGAGATAGGTAGAGATTTATCTCAAGGAAATTGCTCATGCAGCTGTAGTGCCTGGCCAGTCTAAAGTCCATGGGTCAGGCATCAGGCTGGAGGCTTCTCCTGACTCACATAGTTGCAGGAGCTGACGAACCTAAGATTGACAGGTCAGATGGCAGGCTGCTGGTTCATAGACTGTGGAGGCTGATGAATCCAAAATTGGCAGGTAAGATGGCAGGCTGCTGGCTCATAGGCTGCAGAAGCCAATGAATCCCAAGGTCAGCAGGGAATACAGCAGGCTGCTAGCTCAGGTCCCAAGAATGGAGGTGAGATGATGACAAGCCAGATGCAGGATCCAGAGTGTGCAAAAGCCAGCAAACTTTGCCAGAACATCCATATACATTGGATGTAGTCCACACCCCTGAGGAAACTCCCCTTTCAGTTGTTTGGCTGATCATATCAGATCACATCATGGAGTCGATTATGTTATATCACAAAATGGAGGGTAACTACATCATTCCGTAACTGCCAAACCCCTGAGAATCATGGCCCAGCCAAGTTGACACCCATCCTTACCCATCACAGTCAGCCTTGCTTTCCTCTGCTGTCCAGGTTCCTCCATCCCCATTTCCTAAAGCACTAGTTTCCTTGGGTGAACTGCCTCTGCCCTTTGCTGCAGGTATAGAGGGACCATTGATGCACTGCTGGCCGTATTGCAAGCCAGGCTAATCTGATTTTCTTTTGGGAGCATGATTCCCGAGTAAAGTATTCCTAAGGTGTTAAACAGGGGAAAGCATTTGATTTGCAGCAGCTCGTTAACAACTTGGCTGAGTCGTTACTCATGCTCAATTCTTGGAGCTGCTGTGGTTCCTGTTCTGGTTCCTGGGCTGAGTCTAGGCTCGGTGCAGCCAGTAAGTGGAGGACCTGGGTTTCCACCTACACGGGCCAACTTCAGAGGCTGTGCTCTTAAACACTAGGCTATGCTGCTGCCCATTTCAAATCAGCACTTCTGATTTGAATAACCAAATTGAGCAAACTGCAATTGAGGGTTGATGAAAAATAAAAGCTATGATAGGGATGATATAGAGCTCTATTTATTGACATGTAACAGTGTCCAAAATATATTAATTGAAAACATTGGTTATATCACATTTTGTTTATTAAGATGGTACACACACACACCCACACACACTACAAAGACTACAATCATTTCTTCAAATTGTCAACCATGGTTATTCTCCTTACCTGGAAGGGCCTACCAAGCATTGTACTTCTTTCTTGTTGGTAGGAGGTACAAGGTGGAATAGCTTAGCCTTTACTTTGAGGCTTAACTTAACATGCCTCAGACCATTTAACCCCTAAAAACTTCACCTATGTGGCAGGATTGTAAGATTTATTTCCCACCATCTGGAGTGCATATGATTTAACAAGGCGTTCAGAACACTTGCCACTTCTTGCTCCTTGGGTCTAAATAACATATAGTCATCACAATATTGGATCAATGTATTATAGAAGATCCAAGGAGTATTCATTCAGTATGGCAGGGGGTAGCTCTACATTTCAACAAGGGGCAGGGGGACTCTTCTGTAGGACCAGTGGGTTCAGGGGAATCTGGAGATCAAGGTTCTCATGCACATCTACCCAGATATCCCTGTTCTGAGCTTCATAGCCTTGCTCCTTCTTTATCAGGGCCTGACTTTGGCATAAGAGACCACCCTAACCTTAGAATTCAGTCTTCTCTGAAGTTCTGCCATTTTAAAAATTAGGATCTGTTCCAAGTCCTCTCTATTGTCTGGCTTCAAGCTATAGGTATGGGAGTCTCTCTATGTATGTGCTGCCCAGGAAGGCAGCCAGAACGCTCCTTAGAAGCGAGGATGGTGAGACTTGGTCTCACATACTTTGGACATGTTATCAGGATGGATCAGTCCCTGGAGAAGGACACATTCTTGGTAGAGCGTCAGAGAAAAAGAGGAAGACCCTCAACAGGATGGATTGACACAGTGGCTGCAACAATGGGCTCAAGCATAACAACGGTTATGAGGATGATGCAGGACTGGGCAGTGTTTCATTCTGTTGTACATAGGATCACTATGAGTCAGAACCAACTCAATGGCACCTAACAACAACCACAACAGCATTAATAAATCTAACTCATCTAAGCCTGTCATGTACTTTTTCCAACACATCAATGGTACTTATCAAAAGCCACACAAATCCACAGTTCTTATAGTTAGGATTTCTCCCTTCTTAAATGCCAGACAATTGCACGAGCTAGTTATCCCCTTCACCTATAGCCCATCCAGTTTATCACAGGTGAAGTTCTTTTCTTGGCAATTGTACTTTTGTAGCACTCCAGGGACTATCAACACATCCACTGTCACCAGCTGGCTAGAGGGTGATTCTACTCCAGAATCCCATCCTAAGCGCATGCCTTCTAGGACCATTTCTAGTACCAACTATCTGTGGTTGGGTCCCTAAAAGAACAGAATGAGATGAAGTTTCTTAGGCAAGTGATTTATTATAAGAGTTCTCTCAGGAGAGTGAGGGAAGAATGTTAGGGTGAGTGGAAAAGCTAAGCAAGTATGCACCAACCTGATCCCACGGGGAGGACAGGAGCATGAATCATACTAGAGGATTGGCTCCACTATGAGACAAGGGGGCCATAACCTCCAGGTGAAGCTGGCTCTGCTTGGCCCAGTGAAATCCTCTGGAGAAGGGTAGAAAAGGGCATTTGGCCAGGGCACCTACAGCATCATTACACAAGTGAACTGTTCTCATTTGTTTCCTGAATAGTAAACACTTCCTTGAAATTCCTCTCAAATTCAGCCTCCAGTCTAAGTCCTATTTGGCCAAAGTCCTTGAGCTGAAAAAAATAAAAAAGACAAAAATAATAATACTCATTGTTAGGCTTTGTAGACACTGTATAGGTCAGAATGAGCAGGACCCTTGTGTTAAACATCCAAGGTGTTAACTGAGAGTTCCATTAGTCAGGTTAAACTAAAAACCTCATGAAGCTAAAAGTAACTTCTGTTCCCTGAGGGTTCCCAGAGTATTATATACTTCCGTTCCCAGAGTATTTCTTTTTTTTTTTAATTTAATTTTTTTTTTTATTGTACTTTAGGTGAAGATTTACAGAACAAATAATTTCTCATTACACAGTCAGTACACATATTGTTTTATGACATTGGTTAACAACCCCACCACATGTCAGCACTCTCTCTTCTTGACCTTGGAGGATCTTTTTTCTTTTTTGGTAAAAATATGCATAGCCAAAGATACACCATTTCAAAAATTTCTAAATGTACAATTTAGTGACATAGATTATGTTCTTCCAGTTGTGCTGCTATTCTCACTATCCTTTTCCAAATTATTCCATCACCATTATCTTCAACTCACTGCCCCTTAGGCTTCCCATCAAACCTTTTGAGTTGCTATTGTCAATTTGATCTCACATGGATAATTCTTTTTTTAGTATTTCTTATTAACTAGACACAAATGTGAAATCATTACTGCACTTGGGGCCTATTATTTATTTTAGTGAGAGTTATGAAAGTAATCAGTGTTCTTTGTAACAATTCAGGCAGTACAGAATTGTCTAAAATGAAATCTATGGCCTCTTCCTTTTCCCATGGTCACGTCTATCCCTCAGGTGAGCCCTGTAACTATAGGGACCATCACTGGAAAGTTCACATGTAACAGAATCTGGGCTTTGAGAGCTCTGAGAAGTCTGATGCAGTGTATTTAGGGGGAGAGAAGAAGCATACTCTGACTTTAAAATCCCATTCTCCTCTCCTTATGTGCGGGAGCAGGATGTCCTCTGCTGTCCCCTATGGGCTCCAGTCACCTCTGCAGAGCAGAAGGAGCTCTCAGAAGGCTGGGCTTCGAGTTGCAGTGAAACTGGCTGGCTCACTGTCACTTTGCCACAATGAGCTTAGGCCTGACCTGAAAAAGCCGTTCACTTCTGGAATCCTTGCTTATGTAGGTTTGCTACAGCATAAGGGAAGCTGTGAAGTTCCCAGGTGCCAGAAAAAGGGGACAGAGTGGCTCCATACAAAGGAAAGGAAGTGGAAGCAGGGAAAGCCACCCACCTTGTAGGATGCTCTGTGGTTCTGAAAGATGAGGCGCATGTCCTGCACGAACCCCCCAACTCGATGGTAGCCCTTCTCATTCAGTCTCTTCTTGATTTTGTTTAACCACATGGGTTCCTTTAGGACCTGAGAATCCTCCCTATTCTGGGGGAAAAAATGCCAAAGGTAGCGCTGTTAGCATAGTTCAATGTCTACCTTCTATGGATTCCCATCAAATCCAATTAAAATACCACAAGGTAAAGACAATGGCAGTTCGTGCTCTCCCATGGGATTCAGCTCACAAATCCCACCAATGACAGTTTCAAGGACACGTGACCCCACAACGACCAGTAATTATGGCTTGTTGTTATTGTTACTTACATAATAATAATATGGGATGTTGACAAAAAAGGAGCTCTCTGAACAGCAATAGACCTTCAAGAGGAGGAACTCACATTTCTGCAAAAGGAGGAGGCTGTAAATGAAAAGCAGCTTGGAGGAATGAGCCTGACCTATGCCCAGACAGAACCCATGACTCAAACCAGTCATCCAGAAGGTACCCCAAGCATGCGTGGCTCTTGGAAACAGACAAGTAATGGCTTGAAAACAAGGCTTGTTGTTAAAACCATGTGATTGAGGCATGGCTTAGAAGAACATACTCCCTTTGGGTGCTTTGCGTGGTTGTGCTTCTCCTGTGTGAAGGGAAAGGAGAAGGCTTGGGGCTTGCAGTTGACTCACCAGCTGTTCCTCAGGCAACATCTCCCTCTCCAGGATCTCAGACTCCTCTTGACACTGTTTGCTTCCTGAAGACTCCTTCATCTTGCAGAAGATGCAGCTCCACGGGGTCCTGGGAGGTTGGGCATAAAATGAGCAAGGGGCAAGGCCCTGTACACAGTCCCATTCCCATGGCTGTTCACTGGCCTCCTTTCAGGAATGGCTGAGGGTCAGCTGTTGGGGGACACTTCCCAGAGTGTCCTAGACCACCACGTGTGGCCTCAGGACAATGATCTCCTCCATTAGTGGTAGTTCCAGGGGTGTCAGCCCACAGAAGGAGGTGTCATGGTGAGTGCCGGTCTCTTCTTTCCCTGTCTGAGGTTCTGGGAGCACAAGGATCCCTGCCTGCTAGGCCTGAGTATCAAAAAGTGGGCCTTAATCCCTGGGGTACTTGGACCTTCATCTGTCTGATGGGACCAAGTGAAATACAGGAGCTGGGTGATGTTTCCTGAGTTTTCTGAATAAGCACAGAACACACACAACTGGCCTTTTCTGTCCTCAATTCTTTTGGACAGGAGTCCATGCTGCAAAACTTCTAGGAAAGGACAGTTACAGGACATAGGCAAAGGGGCCCAGTCACTGTCCTAAGTCTTAGAGGACGTGTCTTTGATACACAAAGAACAGTAAGCTTTTGCTGCCAGCCCCATTAAGCAGCTCTAGATCACACTTCCAGATCCCTGTATCCAAGGACGCTCCTTCTTCCCAGTCTAGACACAAGCAGGAACACTGCAGGGCGAGTGTGTACAGCAGGAGGAGGGGGCACTAAGAGGGGAGGAAGCTGAGGTCGCATCTCACTAACCTCTCAACCTCCACAGGTGGGATATGACATTCCTCATGAAAGGATCTCGAACAAGTGTCACAGCAGAACAGCTGTCCTCCATCGCGGCATACCTCACAGTCATCTGAGTTTTCCTGCTGGAAGGTGCAATAACGCCCACATCACCAGAATCGCTGAGGGCCAAAGGCTAACACCATGGGAATCTAGAACACATTGCCTTTGCGTGCACAGCATGGACACGTACATGCTTCTGCCTGAGATTTTAATGAACTACACTGAGTGGAGATGCCAGAGAAGACATTCTGGCTTGCAGTGAAGTTCAGGAGGAAGGGCTGTGTATCCAGCCAGAAAAATTTTCTTTATAAAACCAGACATCCTAACACAACAAGAATAACAACAAAATGAAATGACAGTTTTGTAGGACTGAATAATTTCATAATCCATCAGGTAAAACAAGGACCTGAAACACCTTCTTAAATCCATTTGCCTATATTACAATGGCTAAATTGACTTGTGGAAGGGTGATTTACAAACGTGAAAGGACAGAGTGAGTCAGGTTTCTTTCCTTGGCTCTCTATCTCCCCCAGATGATCTGAGTCATCTCATAGCTCCAGTTACATCTTTATGTCTACACCTCCCAGATGCTCAGCCTCTATACTGCACCTGTACACATCCAAGTGTCCACCCAGTGCCTCCTCTGGGACTCTTGAAGCACATCTCAAACTCATCCTTTGAAAATTTAGTTGGTTAGGGAGTTAGTACTTACGTAAGAGTCAACTAAGGCGTTGTTGTGAGGCTCCAGTCTTCTCTGTTGAAAAGAGAGAAAGATTGAATGACAATACTGAATGCATGCATCATTTATTTGAACAGTTATCTCTTCATAGGAGTCCAGCAATCTACCCTTTATTTCGTAACTCATGGCAACCCTAGGTACAACAAAACAAATAATAGTGTACAATAAGTGATTCTTCCAGATTAGCATATCAGTTTATTTTACAGCATGTGAGCTGTCACCAGAAGATACAAATGGAACTTGTCATGATCAGGGAAGCTGTCATGTGGCGCTGAGAGTGGCAGTGGAGTTTCCAGAAGCCAAGGGGCTCAGTCAGCAAGGGGACCCACAGAAGTAGTAATGGATCCTAGGACTGTCACCTTTGGGAGCTTCTGTTCTGGCCCATGGGAAGACACAAAATTTAGAGGCAACTACAGGTTGTTGCTGTGAAGAGTCACACCTATGAATAAGGATAGACTGTGTTCGTTGGAAGTTGCCAGCTCATTTGAGTAACCTAGACTCTGCCACTCTTGATACCTGGGGAAAGGTAGAGATGTTGGTTTTTAAAGTACTCACTGAATAGATTTTCCTTCAGGAAACCCAGTGAATGAAATGTCCCAGTGTCTGAGAGTTCAAACCAGTCACACCATCAAATAATGTAAAGTCACAGTGGAATATGAGGCCTCAGTAGCCAGTTATATGTGAACCTTAGAAGTCTGTGAATCTCTTAGATGGCCGCTTCTGCCTAAAGTATGTAAGAATGGCACTTTTCCACTTCACCTCCCTCCTCAGGTTCTCATTCATACTCAATCTTGGAAAAACTATAGAAGACACGACTTAGCACTTTGCCCTGAATCTATATTGCACTTTACTGATTTGTTTGGTAGCTCCATAGCCTCCTTAGCCTTCTTCCATTGAGAGAAATCACTCACACAGATGGAAGGGAGGTCTGCACAATCTCACTGGTGAAGCCAAAGGTGTGGCATCAAAGTAAAACTTTCTCTCGGTCAGCCCCTCCTGTAAGCCACATGTGTATCCCAAGAGCTTCTTCCTCATCAGCAGTATGTTCATGAAGAGTAAATAATTTTGCCTTGAGAAAGAACTCTGTGTCTGTGTGTACATTTTATTGGGAGGAGGGGGAAGATGTGGCTGAACCAAAAAGAAATGTGCTTTTTGTTGCCTATCTCATGAAATGACAATTGGCTTCATATTGTTCCAAGGTGAGCTATCTAGTAGACTAGAGTAATTTGAAGGACTGTGAGGAAACGTTTGCTCCATCAGATTTCATTTAAGTTATAAAAGAGTAAAATCAATGAAAAACATCTGGGCTCAAGTTCAGTATGATCCTATCACGTTATTATGGAATGCGTTTATGTATTACATAATCATGTTTGCTTTTCCATCTTTGATACCCTTATAAGAATTTGCAGAAAATTATATAGTAATCACCTTTTTCCTCCTATGATACATTCTTGGAGGATTTGGTAGAAATCCTTCCTGAAAGACAAAAAGATCCCAGAATGTGGTTAGTCTGTGTTTCTGTTTTGTGAGTCTGGCATTTCCAGTCTCCTCCAAAATATTTCTACCTGGATGTCCCACTGGCAGTTCAAACCTGAGGTGTCTAAATGGGAAACTATCTTCCTCTTCTTACCTGTACCTCTACTAGATTTCAATCACTCGTAGCTGGAAAATCATCTTTAGAGCATTTTTCTTTTCCCTTGTGCTTCATTCCCAAGTCCTGGAAGGTTTTCCTTCACAATCCCTTTTATACCCATCACCACCTTTCCATTCTCATCAGTGCCACTCTGGCTGAAGTCTTTATACCAGGGCTATTCAGGCAACACACATTTGTTGTATGACTACTGGATGTCAGGCAATAAACAACCTTGGTCACACAAAGACGGAGAAATGCTAGAGGAATCTAGACAGAAAAAGAGGCTGTATGGAGGTATAATTACATAACAGTGGAGGAAGGACTCTAGTAGGGGGCTCAGAAAGCCCAGGGAAGGGATGACCAGGGACAGGTCAATCTGAGAATATTCAGAGGGGGTGATAGTGTAGCTGAGCATTGTAGGTTGAGTATGGGTTTTTCAGGCAGAAAGACAGTGAGGCCATTTGAAGGTGATGAGTTTAAACTCATAACCCCATTGACGGATCGTGACTTACCACACACTATCTACCTAAGCCCACAGAGCCAGCTCAGTCTTGGCTCTGGTTTTCATGGCGTTCTTTCTCTGGAGTGTCCTCTTTCCACTTGTTTGACTGTCAACTCTTCTTTCCTTCATTGCAGAAAGTTATGTACATGCACCCAAGTCAGAACAACCTTTCCCCCCTCCTCTGAGTCTCTTCCTTACAACACTGGTATACTGCGTTGTACTATGGTTATGAATGTGGAGCACCTCTGTCCCAAGTGAGAGGAAAGACTTGTGGCATCAGGGCTTTAGCTATAACTCAACAAATATTTGGTGAGTAAACAATGACCTTACTATTAGGATACAACAAGGCAGGGCATATCTCCTGGCCCTTGTCAATGGAATACCTCCATCAGCCGTAGTAGGGGCCGTCCGCCACAGCGCACACTCAGCTTCCAGTACTTTGATCTTGCATAGCCTCCTTTGATTTCAAATTCCGTAGGGGTAAACCACTTTCCATCCTCACTCTGTATAGACTTCTCTGAGGCTCCTGTAAGACCAGGGTAAGTTGACCGCGAGGATTCTGTCCCCAGAGCTCAGCCTGTGGCCTCCCACCACACTGGATCTGAAGCCAACCAATTTGGGCTCAAGATCAATAGCAGGAGAGTCTGTCTTCCTCTCTCAGACTTACGGGGATCCAAACCCAACCTGAAAGTCCCCTCAAAAGAGATTCCTGCTATATCATTTCTTTGATTTTCATATATGAAAAAGGTGATAATTACCAACCAAATCAACCTTTTAAAAGAATCTCAAAACCACCTACAAAGGAAAACCAAGTGATTCCAAAGAATGAGAGGATTTCAATTTACTATTAAATTCTGGGGATCAATGCGGAGGAAGAATCCTGGAAATGGTTTTTAGGTTCATGGGACTGAGATCCCAGGTGGGTGTCCTGAAGCTCAGAATGTCACCACTACTACATCTGCATTTTCTGCCACCACATTTTTCATCAAGTTTGATGGCATTACTGAGCAGAAATTTTCCCATTCCTAAAATCATGATAGCTGATATTAAAAATAATTATAAAATTTTATCCAGTGGAAATTTTAGGTTATTTACAAGAGATAGTCATCACCCAGGCTCTTTCATTAGTCATTAAGGAAATGCATATCAGAACCACAGTGAGAAAACATTTCACACCCATTAGGATGGTCATAATAAAAAAGACAGACAATGACAAGTGTTGGCAAAGATGTGCAGAAATTGGAACCCTCACACATTACTGGTGAGAATGTAAAATGGTACAGCTTCTGTGGAAAATAGCTTGGCAGTTCTTCAAGAAATGAAACATAAAGTTGGCATATAATCCAGCAATTATACTCCCAAATATATACCCAAGAGAAGTTAAAACATATGTCCACACAAAAACTTGTACATGAATGTTCATAGCAGCATTATTTAAAATGACCAAATATCCATCATCTGATGAAACAAAATGTAGTATATCAATACAATGGAATATTATATTATTTGACAATAAAAAGGAATGAAGTTTTAATATGTACTACAAAATGGATGAATCTTGAAGACATCATGCTTAGTGAAAGAAGCCAGTCACAAAAGGCCACATAATATATGGTTCCATTTATGTGAAATGCCCAAAATAGGCAAATGTATAGAGCAGAAAATAGAATAATTATTGCTTAAGGCTAGTGGTTGGGATGGAATGGGGACTGGGGTTGATTGCTAATGGTTTGGAGTTTCTTTTAGGGAGGATGAAAATGCTCAAAATTAGATTGTGGTGATGGTTGTACAACCTTGTTGAAATTCAAAAAGCTATTGAATTGTACATGAGTTATATGGTATGTGAATTGCATCTCAATAAAGCAGTTTAAAAAATAGACATAAGGCAAACATTTATATTAATTAGTGTCCCAAGAGCCATATTAAGGAAGAGAGGTCTGAGATGAAGTCTGTCATAATAGATATTTTTGCAAAGCTTTAGAATTTACAAACACAAAACATTTTCCATTAAATTATGTAAATTAATTCTCATAGCTGCATCATGAGATTTTTAATTAATATTCCCTTATTTAGATGAGGACTTTCTGGCTCAAAAAGGTCCCCTTCTCTACCCAGAATGAAACAGTCACTCTTAGCATAGCCAAGGCTAGAACACAGGCTTTTTGATTCCAGATTCTGCAATCTCACTATGTAAAACACCAGTCTTGGTGGTGATGATGCAGAGGGGACAGAGGTTATAAAGGTGGAGGTTGAAAGCCTCTTTCCTTCTATGTTTGATTCAAAGTAAAATGGGTGGTATTTTCTATCTATGGATTGAAGTTCCTGCACTTGTCTTTGGTTCTTTGGGCATCACCATGGACACTTCATGTGGGAGTGAGCGCCTAATAGGTATGATTTTTTAAAAGTGTGAAAGTATCATCTTAGGTTTACCTTTTTGAAGAATGGGAATTCTAGACACTTAATTGTGCTTATGGGGAACTTGTGCATGGATCAAGAGGGAGTCGTTCAAACAGAACAAAGGGATATTGCATAGTCCAAAGTCAGAAAAGGTGTGTGTCAGGGTAGTATCCTTTTGCCATACTTATTCAGTCTGTATGCTGAGCAGATAAACCAAGAAGCTGGACTATATGAAGGAAAAAGCAGCATCAGAATTGGAGGAAGACTCATTAACAATCTGCTATCTGCAGATGGCACAACCTTGCTTGCTGAAAGTGAAGAGGACTTGAAGCACTTACTGATGAAGATGAAAGGCTACAGCTTTCACTATGGATTATACCTTAACATAAAGAAAACAAAAATCCTCACAACTGGACCAATACGCTATCTCATGATAAATGAAGAACATATTGAAGTTGTCAAAGATTTCATCTTACTGGATCAACAATCAATCTCCATTGGGCAAATCTGCTTCGAAAGACCTCTTTAAAATCTTAAAAAGCAAAGATGTCACTGTCTTAGTTACTTAGTGCTGCTGTAACAGAAATACCACAAGTGGCTGGCTTTAACAAACAAATTTATTCTCTCATGGTCTAGGAGGCTAGAAGTCCGAATTCAGGGCACCAGCTCTAGGAGAAGGCTTTCTCTCTCTGTCAACCCTGTCTCCTTTCAACATCTGTGGGCACACTGTTCACTGGAGATCTCCATGTGTCTTGGCATCAGCCTTCCCCTGGGTCTAGGAGATTCTCAGCGCAGGAACCCCAGGTCTAAAGGATGCGCTCTGCTCCTGGCTCTTCTTTCTTGGTGGTAATGAGGTCCCCCCTCTGCTCACTTCTCTCTGCCTTTATCTCTTGTAGGGCAGTGAAGGTCGGTGACTGAAGATACATCCCACCCTAATTCTGCCTCATTAACATAACAAAACCTAATCCTCACTACCATGACCTAATCCTGCCTCATTAACATAATGGACAGCTCACTCCCAAATGGGACCTTAACCACAGGCATAGAGGCTACTATTTACAACACATCACAAAATGGAGGATAATCAGATCACAAAATGGAGGACAACCACACGATACTGGGAATCATGGTCTAGTCAAGTTGACATATATTTTGGGGGGACACAATTCAATCCATGACAGTCGCTCTGATGATTAAGGTCTCCCTGACCCAAGCCGTGGTATTTTCAGTTGCCTCATATGCATGAGAAAGCTGAACAATGAAAAAGGAAGACCAAAGAAGAATTGATGCACTTGAATTATGGTGTTGGCAAAGAATATTGAATACACCAAGGACTTCCAGAACGAACAAATCTGTCTTGGAAGAAGTACAACCAGAATGCTCCTTAGAAGTAAGGATGGTGAGACTTTGTCTTGCTTACTTTGGACATGTTATCAGGAGAGACCAGTCCCTGGAGAAGGACATCATGCTTGGTAAAGTAGAGAGGGTCAGCAAAAAAGAGGAGGGCCTTCAACAAGATGGACTGACACAGTGGCTGCAACAGTGGGCTCAAACATTATTTTCAGGCTGGTGCTGGACCAGACAGTGTTTTGCTCTGTTATACAGGGATGGATTACACAATAAGCAAGGTACACGTGGGCTTACTTGTGCTTACTTACTAATCTGTAGTGCACAATTTCACCTGTTTTTCACCATATCAAAGATATGGTAAAACCCATGTGAAACTGTGCACTACAGATTAGTAAGTAAAGACAAGCCAGTGTGTACCTTGCTTACTGTAAGCCAGTGTGTACCATGCTTTCCGGTAATCCGCCCCTGCTGTTATAGGTAGGGTTGCTGTGAGAGTGGACTTGATGGCACCTAAGAACATCAGGGTTACCTTGCTCCTTTTCTCAAGCCAAACTGGAACCATAATTTCTTGACTAACGTATAATTCACAGGGTAATTCCATCACTGCTCTGATACCTTCAGAGAGGAGTTACAAATTACAGAAGACATGAAACGTACCTTGTTCCAATTTCTTCTTATATAAAGTCCCCTTTACCTCACCACAGGTCACAGGAAGTAAAGGGGAGTGAAAATCCACAGTTGTATCTGTGTGCTTTCTTGAACCTAAAAGAGAAGATTTCTTTATTCATTCTCGTTTTACAATTGTATACATCTCCCTCCTCCCCTGTTGAGGTCATAGGAATGACCTAGAGGTCATAAAGACATAGAGGTCTTTTGGAAGCTTGGTTCCACAAATCTCTAGCATTTCAAAGCCTTTCTTCCTAGTGGTATTTTTGATACATACCTACAGAATGTCTTCCCCAACTCCACCTCCCAAATCTCACATAGAACCTAATGCTTTAGCTGAGAAATTAGGCTTCAATAAAACTCTCTTAACGCCTAATCTTTTTGGCCCCACTGATTCTTACACAGCACAAACACAGCTGCTGTCACTGTTCTGAAGGGAGCACTCCAGCCAGACACTTGCTGCAGTTAGATAGCTAGAGAGAATGTCAGAAACTGTTCTCGTATCACCCCATTTGAGCATTGAGTAGGCATAGAGAAAGCAGAATAACATTGGGGCAACCTAATGGAGACAGTGTCTATTTTCTCTTTTGTTCTGTTTTTCTTGATTTTTCCTTTGCCTCCACTTTATGGCTAAAAGAGGAGCAGAAGGAGATCTAGAATAATCTGCAAATTACACGGGGAGGAGGGTGACCGGAGACCTGATAACTAGTTATGAGATAGGTAGACTACTAGAGGCAAATTTGAGAGGACATTTTGGTGTAAATGGTTAAGCACTGGGCTACTAACCCAAAGGTTGGTGGTTCGAACCCCCTCAGAGGCACCTCAGAAGCTTGCTTCGGAAAGGTCAGCCAATGAAAATCCTATAGAGCACAGTTCTACTCTGACACACATGGGGTTGCCACGAGTCAGAATCAGCTCAACAGAAACTTTTTTTTTTAAACTACTAGAACTTGATGGGCGAAGAAGTACACTTGGTGTAATTCTCCCTCTTGCTTTATAGATGAGGAAACTGAAGGAAAAAAGTCAATCAACTGAGAGGCTGAAGCCCAAACAGTCAAAGGAAAAGGAAGTTTCAGGACAGAGACCCCTGACCACCACTCTGAGTCACCCTTACAGTGCAGTTTATGGCTCTCTGCCTAGCAAAGAAGACGGTTAGCTGAACAACTCATAGGTTAGACCCTTTATATGGCAATAGACTATTTCTTGCCTCAAAAGTTATGAGTTCAGTGGATGCAGCCCTGCCGTGGCTCCTGGACACCAGCATCTGGTTGCAGATCCATCTCCAAGTTACCTGTCTGTGCTATTATCATTTTCTCTCCCTGACACATTGTGGAAATTGATTAAATCTGATATATTTCTCAACAGTTAGTATGGCTACATAAGCAATTAGGGAAATGAGTTTATTAATAAAAACATAGAATGAAGCACAGGAATTTAAATGTTTAATTATTAGAAGTGTATTCATTTTCTCTACTTCTTGGTCGGCCTCTTTTTTGCTTGTGAGTTAAATGGATTCTAGGTCTGCCTCTCTTTCTCCCTGGGAACATAAAAAATGTCATGGTAACAGATAAGTATTGGATAAAATAGTATTTTTGAAAAATTCTATTTAGGAGGAGGAGCCAACATGGTGCTATAGACAGAAGCACCACACTGTCCCTCCACAGCAACGACCTGAAAAGCTAAGTAAAACAAAGACAAATGTCAATCCTGGAACCCTAAGCATCAAATGAAGAGGTAAAGAACTCAGCCAAGCACTGAATGGAATAAGAAACTGACGAGAACAGAGAGAGAGGAGAGATATCAGCGGAGGTCCCCTATCAGCTAGTGCAGCACGGATTTGCCATCTTGGACTCCTGTTGGAGATCGGTGACACAGAGTATGGAAAAGCAGCTTCATGGAGCTCCCAGCAGGAGACAGAGCACCCGGGAACCAACGATATACACTTTCCCACCCCCTACCATTCTTCCCCGTTCTCGGCCTCTGCCACTTGCCACCAGCCGAAGTCTCTTGGCTGGGAGACACTGGCTCTGTGCCACTTGGATTCACCCCACCCACACAGGCTGGCTCTCTCAGTGCCATTTCTTTGTTGCTGGTGTTGCTTTTCTCTGCTTCTTTTGGTTTCTTCCCTGCCTCTCACCTTCTTCCCCTCCTTTTTCTCAAACACCTGGCTCTGTGTGCCTTCTTTGCTTCTTCTTGAAAGGCTGTGAAGCACTGCTCAGCTGGGGAACTGCTTCCCCGGTCTGACCCTCCACACAGGTGGGATCTCTGGGCCTTTTTTCTGTTTGTTTGTTTTTGATTTGTTTTGTTTTGTACTATTCTGATCTGTTTTGATTGTTTGTATTATTTTTCTTTTCACGGCTTGGGAGCCCCTTCCAGCCAGGCTGTACTGTGCGGCTTGGGAGCCACTTCCCCAGTCTGCGTAGCTGTGCCAGTGGGGTCCCTGGGGGCATTTCTGTTCTTTTCCTTTTTGTTTTTTTCATTTCTCAGTTTCTCATCTCTCTATACTTACCTTATTTTCCTGTCTCCTGAATACCTGGCTCTATGTGACATCTCGGCCCCTTCTAGCCAGGCTGTACTGCACGGTCAGGGAGCCACTTCCCCGGTCTGAGCAGCTGCACCAGTGGACTCCGTGGGGACTTTTCTTTCTTTCATTTTTTAAAAATCATTTATTTATTTCTCTTCTTTTTTCCTTTTCTCCATTTCTCAGTTTCTTGTCTCTCCACTCCAACAGCAAACTTAGCACACTTTTTGATTTTTTTGTATGTTTGTTTTGGCCCCTGTTTCTCTCTCCTCTATCTTCTTCCCATACTCAGCTCCACACATCACAACATCCCCCCTCGTTTCTACCTACCTGCACTGTGTGCTGAACATCACACCCCCGAGCATTACAGGCATGGCCTACGAGAACTTGCCCTGCACTGACTCCAGGGCTGCCCTGTTCGCCTTGGTGTGTGCCACAAATAACTCATCCCAGCCCCCTCCCTTCAGCTGGACCTGCCCTGCTGCACCATAGCTGAGCGACTGGCTCTGCCAAGTGGACAAGGAGGTGAAAACTATTGTGCCCACAGACAAGCAAACAACAAAGAATACACAGCCTGCCTGCTCAGACATAACCAAATAAAACAAACAAACAGGACAACACAAACACATTTGCAATCAATAAATTAAGAAAATAACTACTGAATGTCCTGAAGACAGCAGACAATATCAAAACATATGAAAAAAACAGGATGGTTCCAATACGCCTCCAAAATAAAACACCAGATGACTTTCCAGTAGAAGAAAAGGCACTAGAATGACCTGACAGGAAATTCAAATCTCTAATTTTCAGAGCTATCCAAGAGTTGGAGCAAAAAGCAGACAAAAATGAGGAAAACAATAGACAAATCCATGGAAAAGGCAGACAAATTCATGGAAAATACAGAGCAAAAAAAAAAAATGGAAGAATTCAGGAAAAGAATACAGGAACAAAATGGTAACATAAATTCACAACTAGAAATCATACAAAAACAACAATTAGAAATCCAAAAGATAAACAACAAGATTTCAGAAATGGACAGTGTCATAGAAGGGCTGAGGAGCAGGTTTGAAACAATGGAAGACAGGATCAGGGAAATTGAAGAGAAACACTTGGATACAACTCTGAGGAAAAATCAAAAAAAGAATGAAGAAAAATGAAGAAACTCTGAGAATTACGTGGGATACAATGAAAAGCAAAAATTTGCGGATGATCAGAGTTCCAGAATGGGGAGAAAACAGAAAACACAGAGAGGATCATTGAAGAATTACTGACAGAAAACTTCACTAATATCATGAAAGATGAAAAGCTGACCATCCAAGAAGCTCAACGAACCCCATATAGCATAGACCCCCCCTCAAAAAAAAATCACTAAGGAATATCATAATCACACTTGCTAAAACCAAAGACAAAGAATCCTAGGAGCAGCTTGAGAAAAATGAAGAGTCACATACAGAAGGGAAACAATAAGACTAAGGTTTGATTACTTGGCAGAAACCATGCACACAAGAAGGCAATGCGATGACATATATAAAACCTTGAAAGAAAAAAATTGCCAACCAAGAATAATATGTCGTGCAAAACTCTCATTCAAATATGATGGTGAAATTAGGACATTTCCAGATAAACAGAAATTAAGGGAATATTTAAAAACCAAACCAAACTTATAAGAATTATTAAACGGAGTCCCTCAGTTTGAGAACAAGCAACATCAGACCACGGCCTGAATCTAGGAGGCAAGATCATACCAGCCAGATACCAACAGCTAACATCATTCTTTTTTTTTTTTTTTTTAATTTCTTTATTGTACTTTAGACGAAGGTTTACAGAATACTTTCTCATTAGATAGTCAGTACACATACCGTTTTATGACATTGGTTAAGAACCCCACGACATGTCAACACTCTCCCTTCTCAACCTTGAGGACTTTTTTTTTTTTGGTGAAAATATATATAGCCAAAGTTACACCATTTTGAAAGTTTCTACATGTACAATTCAGTGACATCGATTACATTCTTCCAGTTTTGCTGCTATTCTCACTATCCTTTTCCAAATTATTCCATCACCATATTATCTTCAACTCACTGTCCCTAAGCTTCCCATCAAACCTTTTGAGTTGCTTTTGTCAATTTGATCTCACATAGATAATTCTTTCTTTTTTTGTACCTTAGATGAAGGTTTGCAGAACAAATAGTTCCTCATTAAACAGTTAGTAGACATATTGTCCTATGACAATGGTTAACAACCCCATGACATGTCAACACTGTCCCTTCTCAAACTTGGGTTCCCTATCACCAGCTTTCCTGTCCCCTCCTGCCTTCTAGTTAACATTGTTCTTAATGGAGAGAGGCTGAAAACTTTCCCTTTGAGAACAGGAACAAGACAAGGATGCCCGTTATCTCCACTCCTATTTAACATTGTGCTGGAAGTCCTAGCTAGAACAATAAGGCAATAAAAAGAAATAAAGGACATCCAAACTGGTAATGAAGAAGTTAAACTGTCCCTTTTTGCAGATGATATGATATTATACGTAGAAAACCTAAAAGACTCCAAGAGAAACCTACTTAAACTAATAGAA